ACTACAATACATCAAGAAAAGGAAATAAAAGTCACACAACTCAAAGGATAATCATCCTTATTTAAAGATGATGTAAGTATATATACCAAGTTAGGCACAGTGGTGCATGCCTGAGTCCCAGCTACTTGGGAGGTTAAGGCAAGAGAACTGTTTGAGTCCTGGAGCTTAAGGCCAGCCTGGACAACACAACAGGACCTCATCTCAAAAGAAAATCTCAAATAATCTACAAAAAGATGAGCTAATGGTGACAGGATATACATAAATGTTAAAAAAAATCAGATGTATTTCTACATTGTAAAAAGATATTTCTAAATGTACTTCTCTATGTTCTATAACGCTGACAATAAAATTGGATGTACAATGCCATCTACAATCACTCTTAAAAAAACAAAATATTTCAGTAAAAGGACATCTTTGTGGAAAATTATTTAACACAGTGAACACAATCAAAGATACAAATGAAATGGAGAAACATACAATGTTCATAGGCAAAAAATAACTCAAAGATGTCAATTTTCCTCAAACCAATATGCAGACAAAATTTCTATTAAGCTCTCAAAAATATTTCTGTATCCTATTTTGTTCATTAATCCAAAGCTTAAATAGAAAAACAAAATAACCAGAAGGAATAAAAACAATTTTGAAAAAGAATGAAGTGACAGTAATCATTCTACACAAAGATTAATTATGTAGCTGGGCATGGTGGCACATGCCTATAATCCCAGCTGCTGACAAGGCTGAGGCAGGAAGATCACAAACTCAAAACCAACCTCAGCAATGTAAGTGAGGCCCTAAGCAACTCAGCAAGACTCTATCTCCAAATAAAAAATGTAAATAGGCTGGTGATATGACTCAGTGGTTTAACACTTAGGTTCAATCTCTGGTACCAAAAAAAAAAACAAAAAAAACATTATGCAAAAACCTAAACTTCATGTCTCACACTGTAAAGTTTAATATACACCGTACATTCCAAAATGCACTGTACATACACTGTACATTCCAACAAAGTTTTGGCCCTTGCCCAGCTCTTAAAAGGTAATCTCTAAACTCTTGGAATATTCTGCCTAGTAAGTATGTCTTTATGTACCCGGAGGTCTTAGGTCACTCCATACAGTTTATGCTAATAATGGGACTTATGGAAGGTTCCTAAAAGCAACTGACCTTAGCATGACTATTTAATTTTAGAGCTGGTGACCAAGGTCATGGATACAAATAGTCAACCCCCATATAATCAACCTACCAAACAAACAAACAAACAAAACCCTAGACACAAAGACTGAGTGAATCTATCTGGTCAGCAATACTCCACATGTGTCATCCACATCATTGCTGGAAGAATTAAACACTGTCCACATAACTCCACAATGAGAAGCTACTTAGAACCACAAGTGTAACAATTTTTCTGTTTTGATTTCTTTTAGCAAATTAATTGAGTGTAAAGAGGACTTACAGATTCTTAAACACACACACTTAAAATGAATCATGGACTTAAATACAAAACATTAAATAATCAAACACTTAAGAAAAATGAGAAAACCATCAACTTACGAAAAAATGAGAAAACCTTCAAGAACTAGGATTAAGGAAAGAGTTCTTAAATTTGACATTAAAAACCATAATCCCTTAAGAAGAAAAAAATTGGTAAACTGGACTTCAAATTTTAAAACCTGTACTCTGAAAAAGATACTGTTGAGAAGATAAAAGACAAATTATGCAAAGGAAGAAAAAAATCACAAATAACACATCCAACAAGTGATTAGCATTTAAAATAAAAAACCTCAAAAAAAAAAATTCAGGCTGGCATTTAAGCACCTTGGATGGAAGGCACTATTCGATCCTAAATAAGCAAAAAGCTGAACTATAAAGGGAACAAGTCTTTTTAGATCTCAAAAAGAATTGAGGTCACAAGGCAAAATGCCCCCATATAAAAACAACAGGTAAGCACAGAATCACAACTTATTGCAGGAAAAAACACTCATGATGAAGCCTACATGGAAACCAGGACCTGAATATAAAACCTAAATTGTAACTGACAAATTGCTAGAGTTCAGTGTGGACAACTCTGATAAATAAAAATTCCAACGTAACCCTATCATAGGAAGATCACCACACTTGTGAGATTTTACTATCTGGGGTTTGATCTGGTTCTCACAGTGAATATCAGAGAAAAATCCCTTCATGCTTCCAACAGAGGACGGAGAAAGGAACCAATTTGAAATACAGCAGAGAGTTTCATTCTTCTTATGAGGATCTGCTATTCCCACTCAAAATGATGAAAATTTGCAAAATTAAAAACTTTTAAAAATAAATCCTGAGAAGCACTTACAAAGATCACAGCCTAGGGCACAGACTTATCAAAACTCTGAGACCTAATCATAAAACTATAAAACATTTCTCTCCTCATACCTTACTACCATTACATTGCCAAAGAATCATTTACCATAGTTCATATTACTCAGCATGTTATGATACCTTGCAAAATACAAATAAAAAAGAAAAATAAAGAATAAGACATACAAGGCAAAACATATAGTTTGAAGAAACAAACTAGACCCAGATATGGCAAGGATATTGACCCAGTAGTTTAAAACAACTATGATTAATATGCAAAGCACTCTAATGGGCAAAGTAAATAGCATGCAAGAACAAAGAAAGAATCAAAAAGAAATGCTAGGTATCATAAAGATTCTAATACAAATGAAGATGCCTTTGATGGGCTCAGTAGTAGAATAGGACCAGCTAAGCAAAGAATCTCTGAGCTTGACAACATGTGGGCAGAAACTTCTAAAAAACAGAGAAAAAAACTGTTAAAAATGTAACAGAATACCCAAGAAGTATGGCACAACTACACCCTTTACCCCCCCCCAAAAAAAAAAAACCTCACAGACACAAAACAACACAAAACTAGAAAACTCACAGTAAAAATTTAATTGACTTTGTCTATAAAAATTACATTTTAGATCACATCCTTGAGATATGTTCCACAAAAGAAATAATTAATAAGCTGAATTTCGTTAAAATTAAAACCTTCTTCTGAGCAAAAGACAATGGACAATAGCAAGAATATGAGAAGACAAGCCACAGACTAGGAGAAAATGTTTGCAAAAGATACATTTGATGAAGGACTGTTAACCAAAATAGAAAAAAGAACCTTTAAAACTTAGTAAGAAAACAAAAAATACAATTTAAAAATGGGCTAAAGTCCTTAAAAGATGCCTCACCTTAACAGATATAGAGACAAATAAGCAGATAAAGTGTTCCACATAATGTACCAGTAAAATTCAAATTAAAATAATAAAATTCTACTGTACAACTATGAGAAAGGAAAAAAATCCAGAAAATTAAAACACCAAACGCTGGTAGGATGTGAAGCAACAGAATTCTCATTTATTGCTAGTGGAAATGCAAAATAACACAGCCACTTTGAAAGATAGTTTGGCAGTTTCTTACAGAACTAAACATACTCCTACTGATACAGCAATCCTGCTCCTTGGTATTGACCCAAAAGAAGCTGAAAACTGATATTTACACAAAAATATGTATATGGGTATTTATAGCAGCTTTACTCATAAGTGCCAAAAGCATATTACTAAATGAATGAAGCAATCTGAAAAAGCTATATTTTACAATTTCAACTATGTGACATTCTGGAGAAAGAAAAACTATAGAGACAGACAAACAACAACAACAACAACAACAACAACAAAAACTGTGACTACTAGGGTTAGGCAGGGAATAATAGATGAAGGCAGAGTACAGAAGATGCTTAAGGCAGTGAAACTATTCTGTAATACATACAATAGTGGACACATGATTTTATAAATTTGTCCAAACTCAGAGAACATACACCAAGAGTAAACTGTTAACTAAACTACAGATTCTTCAGATATCAATGTAAGTTCATCAATTTAATAAATGTACCACTCTGATGGGAGATGCTGATATTTGGGGAGGCTGTACCTGTGTGAAGATGGGAGAGTACATAGAGAAAATCTGTACCTTCAATAAATTTTTCTACTGCTCTAAAAATAAGTCTATTTTTTAAAAAATGATATCTCACTATCACAATGATATATTACTATATTCCTACCAGAATGGCTAAAATTTGAAAAACATCAAATTCTAGAAAGAATATAGAGAAAACTGGATCATTGATATATATACATTATTGATGAAAATGATACTGAAAACAATGTGATTGGAAATTTTGAAACTAAACCTACCACTACTACAGAGACCAATAACTGCACTTCTGAGCACTAACCACAGAGAAAAGACATGTTTCATAACAAAACCTCCATGTACATGTTTACAGCTTTTTTCATAACAGTCCAAAACTGGAAACAACTCAGATGTTTTTCAATGGGTTAATAATTAAAGTGTGGTCTCTCTAATACCACCCCCACCATTGGTAAATATTACTCATCATTAAAAAGGAATGAACTAATGATACACACAACAACCTAGATAAATCTCCAGAGAAAACGGCCAATTCCAAAAGGTTATTGCTATGTGTATGATTCCAATTACATACAGCCTTCTTGAAATTACAAAATTATAAATGGAAAATTGGTTATTGCTTTTAAAGAGTTAAATGAGAATGGAGGGGGTAGAGAGAGAAGTGATTGTAGGCAACATTTGGTTTATGGAAACATTCTATATCTTGATTGTATCCATGTCATTATCCTGGTTGTGATTCTATAACATCTTGTAAGATATTCCCTGGTGAAAAATGAAGAATGGATATATGAAATCTCTATATTATTTCTTAAAATATTATTTCTTAAAACTCATGTAATCCTACAATTATATAAGAATAAAATGTTAAGAAAAGGAAGAAAAACGTACAAACAATTTAAAATTGATATATAGCAACAATGAGTATTATTAAACACACACTATTATTTTAGTTTGGAACAATAAAATATATCCCTTGAATAGTCTCAATTCACAACCAATCTCCACAAATTCATATCTAAATACTAATAATTTTAGCTTACCTTCCACACTGTCAGAACAGGAAGTTCCAATGCCAGTGTCTCCACTGTCAGAAGCTATACTGTGTCTCCTGATATGGTTATTTCGATGGTTAGATGGAACAGTTGTGGCCTGCCACAATGATTCATTACCAGGTAACCATGCTGATGAATAATAATCTGGGCCTATAAAGGAAAAAATGCACAATTAACACATGTAATATCATGTCTGAAGAGATAGCAGTTTCGTTTTACTTTGCAAAAAATACACATGGGATATAATAGGGTTTTTTCTGCTCAAAATAAAAATAATCAATGAGCTCTAAATTTGCCAGGAAAACTTTACATATCACACACATATCAATTCAATGCTAATTCTGTAGTTTCCTCTGGTTGAAGAACTCTGTATTCTACTTCTACTTCTAGGTATTGAATTTACCAGGAATTGATTCCAGGGGCACTTAGCCATGTATCCCCAGCCCATTTTTACTCTTTTTATTCTAAGACAGGGTCACACTAAGTTGCTTAGGGCTTACTAAATTGCTGAGAATGGCTTTGAACTTAGGGCTTACTAAATTGCTGAGACTGTCTCAGTCTACTGAGCTGCTGGATTACAGGCACATGCTACCACACACCTCGTCTATGTATTGTACTTTTAACCATGTACAGATATCTTTTAAAAATGTTAAATCTACCTATATCCAAGTACAGAACTTTTAAACATGTATAGTTGTCCTATTAAAAATGTTAAATCTTTCTTCAAATGTCAGCCCTCTGATCAGGAATTAGTAAGACATCTGTGATTCCATATACAGGCATTAGCTGTGAAATTGGAGTTCAGGGAATGTCTAATTAATCATATTGCATGACATTAAAAGTAAGAATGTGCTCATCATGGAAGATAAAAAGTAAATTTTTTCCTACTATAACATAATCACTTAAAATTTTAAATTATTTTGTAACCCTTTTAATTGACTTTATTTATCTTTTGCTAAAAGATTAACAGCACAGTATTTTCCTACTTATCTCATTTTGTCTTTTTGAATTACACTGAATCTCTATTTTGTTAGCTAATTTATGTCTTTTCGATGTTTATTTTCATTTGCACATTTTTTACTTTTATTTACCATTTTTCTGTTTTACCCATTCTTCTATTTACTTCATTATTCTACTGTCTTCTATAATACTACTCAAAACAGTGCCAGTACAAACAAGTTATGTACAGAACTAAGCAATGTGTCTCAGGAAGCTGACAGGAAGATCATAAGTTCAAGGCCAGCCTAGGCAATTTAGTGAGACCCCCAGCAACTCGTTGAAACCCTGCCTCAAAATAAAAAGGATTATAGATTGTAGTTCAGTTAAGCACCCAGAAGTTCAATCCTTAGAAAAGAAAGAAGACAGAAAGAGGGTGGGGACAGGAGGGATAAGAAAATAAGGAGCGGTTTTTTTTAAGTACACAGAAGGTTTTTTTTAAATAATAATTAGAGCAATTTAAAATCTGTGGATTTAATATAAATGTTGAAGAAGCACCTATCTTTGCTGATACCTAACACAGTAATTCTCAACTTGGAGCTACAGATTTACTCCAGGAACATAACAAGTACGAATGAATGTTAGGTTTTCATTTCAATGATAATCCTTAAAAATCCTAATAAACACATTATACATTATTTGAACAGCCACCTTTAAAATGAATAATAATCTGGGCATAATTTCTACACTGCTTTATCTATATAGCTACCTTAAAACAGATCTGTTATCACCTATCTTAATGCTCCCATTTGTGTTTTATGTTTTCAACTGTACATAAAGAGCAAATGATATCACTCAGCACTTTTAACTTGAAATGAAAAAGTTTTACAGAATTATCAAGAAACATCCTATTGGAATTGGCAGGGGCTGGGATATGGCTCAGTTGGTAGAGTATTTGCCTTGCAAGTCCAAGGCCCTGGGTTCAATCACCAACACCACACACACACACACACAAAAAAAAAAAAGAAAAGAAAAGAAAAGAAAGAAAGAAACCGGCACAGAAAGAATGCCTTCAAACAGTTTAAATATAAGGATCACAAAATGACTATGTCATGTGCATAAAATTAATTACACTATTTTTTACCACACTTTTAGAAATAGTCATCCTCTAATATTAAAATCAAAATACAGCCAGGCACAGTGGCATACACCTGTAATCCCAGTGGCTTGAGAGGCTGAAGCTCCTGTTCCTTAGTTCAAATCCAGCCTCAGAAATTTAGCAATTAAGCAACTCAATGAGACCCCATCTCTAATAAAATACAAAACAGGGCTGGGGATGTGGCTCAGTGGAGTGCCCGAGTTCAATCCCCAGTATCAAAAAAAATTTTAAAAATCACAATACACAAATTAAAAATAAAACTATAATATATTTGGTGCTACACTTCTATAATATCATTCCTGACAGTAATATTTTAATAAAAATTATGCCATGTAAATATTATCTTGAAGTTTTACTCATATATAATTTATGAATTAAATTTGGGTTTTATAGCTTATGAAGTACATGAGCAAAAAACCACATACATTTAAAATAAGAACTCAAAATTGGCTGAAGAGACATTTACACCCACTTTATGTTCCAGAACAGCCACTTTACACTTTGTAGATTCTAGGCCTTTCTCAGAATGAGAAAATTTATCTGAGCAAATACTCCCACAAAATACCAAATGAAAATAGTCTGTCACCAGATCTTTTCTAACTCTGATCTGGATGGGGCCTATGATCTGTACTAAAAAGCTTACTTCAATCAGGTAATATTTCAACTTATAGTCCTCTCTACAACATTTTCAAAAGAGATAACCAGGGGCTGGGGATATAACTCAGTTGGTACAGTACTTGCCTCACATGCACAAGGCTGTGGGTTCAATCCCCAGCACCAGTAAAAAAGAGGAGAGACAGCCAGTCCATGTCTTTTCTCACAAGGGACATACCCAGCAACCGATATATATATAGGCTACTAGACATATAAATGGAAAATAAAGTTTAAAAAAATGTTCAGTCTCACTAATAATGAAGTAAGTAGAAAAGATGATACAGCTTTAGGATTTTTTTAAGTTACCGCATTAATATCTGAAAGATGGGTATCATCAAAGTGAGGAGAATGTTTATACACTTTTGTGGCCATATGAATTGGTACAACCTTTCTAAAGATTAATCCAAAATTGGGTAACTAAACTTCAACATAAACAAAGTCTTCTACTAGGAATTTATCCTAAAAACATATTAAGTAAATATTAAAAAAAAAAGTCCAAGGACATTCCCAACAGCCTAAAATAAATGCCCCAAAACTATCTACTTACCTTAAAATTGGTTGATAATGCTCAAGTGCTAAAAATTATTTTTACCAACTTGTTTATTTGTTCTTTTTAGATATACACATGAAAGTAGGATGTACCAACCTATTTTTTTAACATGAAGGATATCCAAATATAAAAAATATATACAGGAAAAAAAACTGGCATAGCTAAATATATAAGAAGATTCTATGGTTGGTGAAGAGGTTGTACATTTACATACACTGCTTGAAAAAAGGAGCTTTCAGGGAGCCCCACACCAAAATGTTAACACTGACTACAAGGTTTTGCTAAAGGAACAAATATATTATGGAGACGTTCATTCCATCATTAGTTGTTGTTATTATTACTGACAGTCTTCATTCTATCAGTTATGGGGGGACATGCTGAAATTATGTATATTAATTTTCCAATTATATCAACATTTATTCTGAGATTAGGAACCAGCTATAGATCAAAATATAGAAATTCAATAGATTCCTAATAAAAAAATTTTACAAAACTACAAAAAAACACTAAATAAAAATCTTCTTTTTAGACAATGTAACTACTTTGAACAATATAAAGTTATGCTATGCTTTAACCCACAACACACCTTCACCTCATTTATCTGTATGGTATGAAACTCTTGGACAATGTCAAATATGAATCACAGTTAATTTTATGTGTCAACTTGACTGAGCTATGGAGAGCCCAGATATTTGGACAAACATTTCTAAAAGGGTTCTTGGATGAGATTAATGCTTAAATAGTAGAAGGGGTAAATCAGACTGCCCTTTATAATGCCATTGCTTCCTCCCATCAGTTGAAGGCCTGAGTAGAATTTCCTGCCTGATGTCCTATGAATTAAAACACTGGCTTTTCCTGCATTCAGACTTGAACTGAAGCATAGGCTCTTCCTAAATGTTGAGCCTGCCAGCCTTCAGACTATAAATATACCATTGCAAAATCTAGGCCATCTTGCCAACTTTGTCCACTTTCATAACTCACAAGCTACGTTCTTATAATTATATACTACTGATTCTGTTTCGATAGAGAACCCTAAATACAACAATGGGGAAATTAGACAAATTCAAACTTTACCTGCAGACATAGAAGTGGGGATATAGTTTTCTCTGTAAAAGAGAACATTGGTCACAGTCCTCTATTTTCCTCATAGTAGCTCAATATTGTCTACTTCATATGACACATGCACAAAAGGTCTCCAAGTTTATGGGTACAAGCTCAATTATCTGTTATCTATCTCCCAATAAAAAGCTATATAAAAGAAATTACACAAAATAAATGGACTACCACTGCATCCCTCTAGAAACTCAATTCTATCTTTGGATTACAGAATATAGATGCTCCTTGACTTGTGATGGATTGCATCCTGAAAAACTCATCACAAATTAAAAATAGCACAAGTTACAAATGTATTTAATATATTTAACTTACCAATACAGCACAGCTTAGCAACATAGTACAACATAGTGGAATAACAATTTTTTACAACCCTGCAAATACATGGCTAAGAGGAGCTGCAGCTCACTGTTGCTGCACATCATTACAACAGAGTAAAGAAGAGCTTATCATTAGTTCAAGAAAAGATCAAAATCCAAAGTATAGTTTCTACTACATGTGCATCACTTCCACACCATCATAAAGTTGAAAAATCTTAAGCTGAGCCTATTTACTTAGCTACTCAGGGAAATGGCCTCAGAATTCCCTTCAGTGAGCTGCCACCTTATAAGCTTGTATTTCCAGCTTTAATAAAAGGACACAAAAATAAGCAACCATATTAATACTTGAAGTCATCAATCTGTTGCCTATCTATTAAAAAATTTAGAAGCAAATACTAGAAGTATTTGTCAATATAGC